AGGAAAGGATGGACCCAACACAGCTGTGCCCACACATCACATCAGATAAGAGGAGGTTGTTTTGATTGATGCTCTGACTTGGGTGGGGCAAAGGCAATACCGTGTTTCCCCGAAAATAAGACCTACCCATAAAATAAGCCCTAGTAGGATTTCTAAGCATTTGCGCAATATAAGCCCTACCCTGAAAATAAGACCTAGTGATGGGCGTGGCTATGCAGCGTATCTGCACAACCCATACATTTCCTTGCAGAGCGGTAAAGAAGACAAGCAGTCCTTCTCATTTGCCCCATCGTGACAGCTACTATCCCAGAGGTGACCGGAAAGGTGCGGGCAGCCCCACCAACAAGGTCAGCTCCCCCTGCCAGGTCCCGGCCATCCTGTGTGTGCTGCAAGCTGAGGCTTTGAGGGGAAAATAACGTATCCCCTGAAAATAAGCCCTAGGGTGTCTTCTTGAGGAAAAATAAATAAAAGACCCTATCTTGTTTTCGGGGAAACATGGTATATGTAACCCAAACATTTGTACCCCTATAATATGCTGAAATAAAAAAATAAATAAAGGGTAGCATATTCAAATTCTCCTCACACTTGTGCTTCGTTAGTTTAGAACACATTCATTTTATAAGGATCTGGGTTTTATTCTTAGCCTGTCTGTATTTTAATGTCCCACAGACCTGTCCCCGGTTCCTATCTGATGCCCTGAGTCATCTCTAACCTCTGCAGGGGGGTGCAGGGACCTTTAGCCCTGTCGCTTTGAGAAATTTTTGATTCCTCACCAACCCTCCTTGAGGGTTCTGACTTAGAGAAGCAAATCCTTAAAAAGAAAATGCTTAAGTGTTTATTGGCAGCCTCAGCCTTGTGGGAGGCATTCTCCAATGTCATGACAGGTGCATGCCAGGGAAGCCACATGCCAACTAATATTTTAAATTCCTAGAACCCACAGGAAAGGGTTCACCCCTGCTCTAAGAGCTGACCAGCACATGATAGTATATTTATTAACCTGGAGGATTTTAGCTAAAAATGCAGTATTTTACTATAGTCCTAGAACCCCTCTCTACTTCTTTCACTTCATATCTTATTCCCTCCTGTTTTCTTTATCATTTACACAGAATTTCAGGGTCAGAAGAGATCCTGAAAGTTAAATGTTTCAACTCTTCTGGCTGTACGTTCTCCTCCCTTGGTATTTCTGTGCATCCCCGTGCCCCAGCTTGCTTCCCCTATCATCTGTGCAACCATTCTCCCTCCTCCAATTTGTTCTGAAATCACTGCTGCCTGCCGGGTTGGCACTCCTGGGTACAGACAGTAGAACCAAGATAGGCTTGACATAAAGGGTTTGCCTTTGTCATTAACTGAGGACCAACATGCCCAAAATGGCTCTACCTAACCTTCACCTGTCTTAATACATAAAGGTAAGAGTTTATGTTATCAGTTATCACTCAGTTATCTGTTGAGTTAATGAATGAACAAAGTGTCGCTTTTCCAAGCAAATGGCACATCTGAAGACCATCATTCCTCATTAAAGTGAAAACACACCCCAGGAGAACTAAGGGAGGAGCTTCACTGGTCACAGACACCGTATTATAAATTAGTTTAATCATATTACTTTTTCCTAGTTAACCAGTCATGAGAAAAAAAATGGGTTTTATAATAATACTGAGGAAGAGAAGGTAATTTTGGGGACTGCAATATCCTATAGGGGAAAATATGAGGGGAGGAGATAGGAGATGAGAGGGCCTGAAACAGGAAATCTGGCAACCTAAAGACACCACTGGCACCTAGAGACAGGTGCGAGGGGCACCAGGAGGTGAGAAAGGCACACAAAAATGAAAGACAGAAACAAATTGAACATAAATATTACTGTTTGGTTTCGAATTATATAGCTATAACACCTATATGCTGAATTTGGAAAATTTTCATTGAGTAGTCAATGGAAACGTCATAACACAAGTTATTAGCACCACGCCACAACTATTTTATTTTCCAAAACAAAACAAATGAAAAAAATGCCACCCCATAAGACAGACTGGGCTTGATGCTTGGCTGCCTTGACAATGAGGCTCAAAGAAAAAGTTTGTATTTCACTGGTGTCAAAGTACTCACCACTTCTTTAAAACAGGCTCACTTAAATATATCTGCCTTCTCTCGTTTTGATGTCATTTGTACAATTCAATTTTGCTTTGGTTTCTGGTTTTGCAAATTGTCAGTTCCTGCAGATAATGACAAGTAGAGGGATTAAGGGAAGTGTAGGATAATGAACAAACAGAAAACATGACATAAATCAGGCACACAGTGTTGTTTACTTAAAGTAGATATAGTAAAGAATTGGTTTGTTGGTTTTTTTTTTTAACCATTCCAGGACTAAAGTATTGTGAGAAATTACAAAGTCGAAGTACACTGATTCTACTTGGTGAAAATATAAGTAACTACACGTGGGTCCAAATAACGAGACATTCCTTGTTACTTCCAAAGAAATTCCATAATTTCCTTTGGGGATTACAAAGAGATTTTCCATCTCTTCCAAAAGGTATATGGGTTGCAAAATGCAGGTATACCTGAGGATCCATCTACACATCGAATCAGAAGGAACAAGGGCCAAGACTAGGGAGCAACATTACTAATGCAGCAGTGGTCAGCTACGGTTCTATTTTTGCCCACATTTATCTCAAAAGAAAGCTTTCACTGGACTCATGTAATTGATAATTGCAAGTAATTCAAAAAATAGTTACATCTCTATAGTGTTGTACAATTTACAAAGTAATTGAACATAATTCCTTTGATTTCTATAATTTTTTATATCTCAAGTTCCAAAATGAGGAAATTGGTGCCAAAAGGACCTGTGTGGCCAGTGCAAGGACAGGGTATGGAGGCAGGACTCCACCCAGCCTTTCTGACTCCTAGCCCAACACGCCCTTTATAAACCAGTAATATTTTCTTATTTTCAAAACTGAGCTAATTAGATTCTGGATAAGAATTAATACTTTTAAGACATTTTGAAAATGCAAAGTAGCTTCATATATACAACAAAATGATTCTTGTATTCTTAACATGTCTTTCTATCTAATAGCAAGTGGTAAATGAGACCTTCCTAGTGGTATCCTAAGATAGCAAACTCTAATAAATAAATCTGAAATAAGTTCAGAATCCACTACTATTACAAAGCTTTCACAAGTAACCAGATGTTAGGGTTAAGGGGGAAAAAGTGCTATGATTAAAACATCCTTTTAACTGTGTCTTCATAATGAAACAAAAGACAACTGCCATCAATAGTATACACGTCCACGACCATTTGTGTTCTCAGCTCTTTTCTGCCGTGTTGCAAACTTTGCTAATTTCACAGTACTGTACAATACTTCTTGGTATTATGTAAAGTACTCTATTTAGACATGTTGACTTCACTAATTAGTCTATAAATACTTGACTTTTACCCACTGCTTTGGTAAGTGAGATAATTGCTAAGGAAAGGCCAAAGCATTTATGGTCAATCAGATGAGAAAAAAGGGAATATGGTCTTTTAGCTGAGTAAAATGTAAAACATTATGTGGCAAGGCAGAAGCTATTAGCAGGATCAATATCTCTCCTAGTACCTTAATAAATCATTACATCAAAGCCCTAACACAGGATGGAGAAAACCTCAGTCTACCTACATGGAAGCCTCCAAATTCGAAAAAGAAAATTCCATTTAAATTACAAAGACCTAATTGGTGTACAAAGGAAATGACAAGCTACAAAACCAGTCTCCAAATTCTGGATGTGTTAAGAGTTTTGAATCATTAGTGAAGGAAGAAAAGCAGAAAAGACAAAGAACACTGTTATTCTCTGGGCTGCACATTTCTAATTTGCAACTGGTAAATATGTATGAATCTGCTCCACTGCAGCTAGGGATGACATACTGCTTTTTAGAGATAGCACAGAGCAAAGAAATCAAAGTGCAGAAGGCTCAGCAGTTATAATCTACCTCCTCCCACATTTAACAGTCCTCAATCTTCTCAAATCTCCCCTTACTTAAATTATTCTCCTTTGGGGATGGCTCCCTAAAATGAAAAGTACTTTGATACCGATGGATATTCAATGTATAGTGAAAAGCATCCCATGGTAAGCTCTCACTGTATCATGAGGCACAAGTAATAGTATTTTTTCTAAATCCTTAATCGCTCCCATTCTCTTTGATGCTTCCAGGAAAACAAGTAAGCAATTAAAAGAGGTTACTAGGCTTACTTGCCTAGTTTTTTTGTTTTTTTTTTTTTTAACTCTAGAACTAATTATTTTCTTTTTAAATATGTAGCAAAGACAAAAAAAATATTTTTCAGAGATTAATAGCATAGAACATTAGGCTTTCCCTTAAGGACACTGTACTTCCTTACTTATAGAGATGACAGTGAACATAGACACTATTTTGACTCTACTATAATTTTTTCTTTGTACTAATAATGTTTAATTAAAAATATTCTCTAACAAGCTCAAATTACTCTATTGTAGATCTCTCAAGCCTCATAGTAAGTTAAAGCTAAGAACTAAAAAGTCATAGAAGTAAATTTGTTTTAGAAAGCTCATAGCTGGCAAATTAGCAACATAGGAAAGCAAGGCTCCCCAACATCTTGAAACATTCATTCGTGATTATTTCTTTCATTCAACAAATATTTATTAAACAGTTAAATGTCAGGCTTAGGCTGGATGACAATTATATCAAATAAAGTTCCCAGAAGGTTCTATCCTCAAAGAGTTTGACAATATAAGTGGGTACATAAGGCACATGATACTTAAAAAGTTAAATAACATAAGAAGATTTAAATTATAATATAAAAGAAAAGTTGACTGTCACAAGTACACCATATGATTATGTGCCAAAGAAGAGCTATAATAATGTTTGGAAACATCTGTTAGGAAGGATTACCAGGGAAGGGATTAGAGGAAAGGGTAAAAGACCTGAGCTAGACAGAATGTGAATAGGTGAAGAAGAAAAGGACACATATTCCAACCAGTAGAAACAGCTTGGACAAGCAGATGAAAGTACGTAGTCTGAAGTAAAGTCCGTTGAAATGCACCATGAAGCTTTGAGTGAGGCTCTTCCAGGGGACAACGTGGGTTTCAACATCAAGAACGTGTCTGTCAAAGATGTTCGTCGTGGCAACGTTGCTGGTGACAGCAAAAATGACCCACCAATGGAAGCAGCAGGCTTCACTGCTCAGGTGATTATCCTGAACCATCCAGGCCAAATTAGCGCTGGCTATGCTCCTGTACTGGATTGTCACACTGCTCACATTGCCTGCAAGTTTGCTGAGCTGAAGGAAAAGATTGATCGCCGCTCTGGAAAGAAGCTGGAGGATGGTCCTAAATTCTTGAAGTCTGGTGATGCTGCCATCGTCGATATGGTCCCTGGAAAGCCCATGTGTGTCGAGAGCTTCTCAGACTATCCTCCTCTGGGTCGTTTTGCTGTTTGTGATATGAGACAGACAGTTGCTGTGGGTGTCATCAAAGCAGTGGACAAGAAGGCTGCTGGAGCTGGCAAGGTCACCAAATCTGCCCAGAAAGCTCAGAAGGCTAAATGAATATTATCCCTAATACCTGCCACCCCACTCTTAATCAGTGGTGGAAGAACGGTCTCAGAACTGTTTGTTTCAATTGGCCATTTAAGTTTAATAGTAAAAGACTGGTTGTTAATAACAATGCATCGTAAAACCTTCAGAAGGAAAGGAGAATGTTTTGTGGACCACTTTTGTTTCTTTTTGTGTGGCAGTTTTAAGTTATTAGTTTTTAAAATCAGTACTTTTTAATGGAAACAACTTGACCAAAAATCTGTCACAGAATTTTAAGACCCATTAAAACAAAGTTTAATGAGAAAAAAAAAAAAAAAGTATGTAGTCCAGCTTGAAGCAGGAGAGAGCTCACATTACAGATCAGTGGTGGGTCAGGGCAGGAAAGTCTCATGCCAACCAGGAAAGACCATGGCTGGATTTCACAAGCTTCAAGGCAGGAAGGTTTCTACTTAAGATGGGAGAAAAATGGGGAGTCAAGAGAATTCTCATACCCATTTCCAATTCCGGGAGCATTTGGGGAGTCAAAATGTTCCTGGAATTAGGGATATCCTCTACATAAGAGGCAAGTTTCATTTATGGCAGGAGGTGGTAGGGGTGGGGATTCCACACAAAGGTCTGAGGCCATCAGGAAACCTGCTTATTAAAGAAAAGAGCTGTCAGAGGACCCCAGAGCAAACCACAATTTCAGAGAAGAGACATTAAGAGGATGGTTCTTTTGTAGAAACTCCCTGACAGGAACAGGGATGAGGGAATGAAGGGGGAGCTACTGTCTGGGAGAGGTGAGGAGGACAGAAGTGAGCAGCACAGTGGCTTTGACTGATCTGGTTCTGAATGGAATCTGGGTGTCATGCTGGTTCAGGAGCCAGTGTCATGATATAGGGAGATTTGTCAGTTAGGAGGTTATAGTTTATGGGACCTATGCTACTTACTATTAATACAACAGATTTTCTTCCACATTCACACTATCTCCTCCATTATGAAGTTGGAGCAAATCTAGGCCCAGTGTCCTACTGAGGGAAATCACAAGAAGAGTTGGAGGAGGTCCTGTCCATGGGAGTTGCACCTTCAGCTGATGTTACCTGCTTCTGTGGCACATTCTGAGAGCTGGGAGACCAAACCAACATGGTGCAGAGTTACCAAGAAGGCAGCACCCACTGCTCTGGGTACCTCCGGGGAGATGGGGAAATGTCTTTACTAGGCAATCAGCTTCTAGTTGGCAGCTGCCCTTTCTCCTCCCCAATAAGCACCTTTCTGACTACTACTCTCAGTAGAAAGGCCATCGGCTGTTGTGTTGATGATGGGGCTTCACTGGTTGGAAGAATTTTGCATTCTTCAGTCTGAACTATTCCTCTGGGTGTCCTTGTTCAAGGAGCAGTTAATTTGAAAACAATTAGCTGGTTGTTCACTTCCTTGAGGCATAGCAAGACTGGATGGTACTCCAAAGTACTGGATGGTAATCCTAGCATGGTACTCTGAAGGAGCCGGAATGTTTCTAGGATGGGTCTAGGTTTGTGCTGGTGTCAGGGAAAATCCAGTGTTTCTAACCCTGATTACAGTGAATTAATCACTATTTGCTTTAGTTGCTCTGGCAGGTTTTCATTTATTTATTTTTGCCTCTGTGACAAGGAGACACTTACGCCTTTCAACACTAAATGGATTGGACAACTCATTAGTTTTCTTATTTTTTTCCCAGTCTTCCAGATAAAGGGGAAAATGGGTCATTATCGCAAATTATAGATGGGAAGTCAACAAAAGATAGATTAAAAAGGTAGATTTTTATAGATTTTTATAAGAAACCTATTGGATTTGTTTTGTTTTGTTTTTTTTTTAAGTGCCAGACTTTCTTTTACCAGCTGGTTTGGAGATAACTTTTTGATAAAAGAGTATTTCTTTTCTGCCACTTAACCCTCTTAACCCTCTACTTACATCCTCTCCCACACTTTGTCCCCTTAAAAAATACAATGCAACATGAGAAAACTCTTCTCTTTTCCTCAGTCTCCCAATTCTTCACCCATCTTCTCTGCAAACCATTTGGCTTCCGTAACAAAAAGGGTGTCACAAACAGGGTAAAAATATGTCACTAGAGACTTTCTCAGTTCAATGCAGTACTCACACACATCTGGCAGGTCTCAGTAGAACTCAGCTGTGCATGTACAAGGAAGCAGGGGAACAGCAGTTAGAGTCAGACATGCCCTGTGGCCTGCTGACTCCACAAATATGTGAGGCACACAGGTCACAAAAATGTCCCCTCCAAACACATGTGCCCTTATTTGGTGTTTTTAAACTTTTTTCTTATTTTCAGTGCTAAATTTTCTTCTTTATTTAGAACTGCTTTTGTCCTTTGGCTCTTTATAAACTGCACTGGAATCCAGTATTCTGTGCACAACCTCATGTTTGTGTGACATGAAAGACAATATGGGATTCAGAGGGATTTAAAACTAAATCTATGGACCCCAAACCCCAAACTGCAGATTTAAACAACTTCTGAAAAGAAGTACTTATTTTAATGTGCTTCTTTTATTGTTTTTGAGGTGTACATAAGTTATCCCAAATCATAACTATCCAAAATTATGAACAAGAGAACAGGGACCTTAAATACAGAGAACATGTGGATTTTTTTTTTCCTTCAAGTCAGTTGCCAAAGGCAATATAGTAGGAGAAGAACCATATAGAAACCATCCAGTCATGGAATAGGTTAGCAAAATGTTCTATAACTAAAGAAACTTATTTTCTAACAGAAATAACAATATGTCAGAAACCAGCATAAGCAAGAGTGAGACCCTGTCTCTAATAAAAAATAAAATAAAAAATAAAAATACTAAAACATAACCTCCTCTAGTAAAGTGCTTTAAGTATACTCTAATGAGGGTTTTTCTTTAAGATATGTTTAAACTAAAAGTCTCAACTAGTACAAAAGACTAAGAAATGTCAGCTTCCCTACGCCCAGTCTCACTTTCTAGAGATAATAACTATAAAAGTTTCGTGTGCAGCCCACATATATACAAACAAATGTATCTGCATATTTGCATGTTTGCTGGTATATGCTTTAGCTATATAGAAACATTTGCTATTTTATTCAAATGAGCTCACACTCTATATACTATTCCTGAGCATTGTTCCATATCATTGGCATAGATCTGTTTGTTCTTTTTAATGGCTACATTGTATGTTATTGAACAGGTATCCTATAATACCTATATTCCTGTTGGTATACTTTTAGGCTACCTCTGCGTTTTAGTTATTACAAAAAATAAGCAATTGCAATATGCTTCCCTACAATTACAGTTTCCTACCTGGTATAGATAGAACTAAAACTCCTTCAAAAATATTTTTCCAATCTACACTCCTTCCAACATTATAACAACTTCTCACCATCACTGGATGGTACCAACTGTTTAAGTTGTTTTCAATTGACAACTGAAAAATACTACCTTATTTTAAAATTGTTTCCATCACTAATGAGGCCATGTTTGTGAGGCATTGTATTTTTCTTTGAACTGCCCATTCATATTCTTTACTTATGTTTTCTATTGAGTTGTTACTTTTTATTGATGCATATGAGCTCTTGATTTAGCAAGGAAATTAGCCCATCATATGTCACACGTATTGCAAATACTTTTCCTAATTTTTCATTTGTCTGTTGACTCTGGTTTTGTTTTGGGGTTTGTTTTGTTTTGGGGTTTTGTTTTGAAGACTGTTTGGGAAACAGTCTTCTAGAAAAGAATACATTTTAAATATACCAGTAACTGTAAAGCATAGATTGCATGGTGCCAACCATGATGTGCTCTGTTCAGGTGTGATGCTTATTTTAGGTAACAAGGTCACCAGGACCAATTCATGAAAATCCTCTTGAGTTTCACATAGTCGCAGAGGCCCTCCATAAATTGTTCCTTCTCACCTGGCAGCCTCCTGTCTTATTCTCAACTGAGATTCTGACCTAAAAGTGCTTGCTCCTTGTATCTAGAAGTCACTCAAAAGGCAGTAAACAAAATTTCTGTTCTCGTTTATTTCTTCCTCTGCTTCCCTACCAGCAATGCCGGGAGGAGTGGGAGAGACACAGCAATGTGTATAACCAAAAAGGCAGACCTAGAAAATTATTATTCTATTGATAAAAGGATTCAGCAAATCCATAGGATTCTTTGTTCACAGTGATTATCCTAGATCTTATATTTTCAGGTTTTGTATCTTACCCCTCATCATTCTCACTAACTAAGGTGAACCCTGTGTAGGGCACTGACTGCACTCACCACTGGTATGCCAAGAATGCCCAGGCAAGAGCCCAGCCAACAGAGAGCTTGCCCATACTTGTGCAGACCGGAAGGCAGAGCATGCTCCCTGAAGCAGGGCTGCAAAGTGCAAATCCAACTTGGTAACTGTATACCCAGAGCCAGTTAGCATCTCAGGGCCTCAGATTCCTCATCCTTAAGATGCAGACGGGTACAGTGTGTCAGAATAATAAGAGCAGCACTATCACAGGACTGCTGTAAGGTGAAAGGAGTTATTACATGGAGTAGTGCCTGGCATGTACGTGGCAAGTTTTAAATAAATCTGGCCTACCAATGTAATAGTAATTAATATAGACAACAATGTAAGTTAGAGTGTGATTAAGTCCAATAAGCCTTACAACAGATAAGCAAGTACTATATGACCACAGAAAAGAAAATCCCAAAGGAGCAGTCACTAAATGCAGTGAGAAGTAGACAGGATTTGAGTAGGAGGCCTAAAATAAGCAAAGATAAGTGTTGTGTGTATTCCAAAAGTGGGGAAGAGCCTTACAAAAACACTAGTTACCTTAGGGACAATGAGTAAACTAGTGGGCATGCAGTGAAAGGCTGTGTTTGGCTAGAAGAAGGGAATTTCTTTAAAAATATAGATTGCTAAGGGGTTATCCTCTCAAACATCTCAAATTCTGTTTATTTAAATTAAAAAAAAATGTTTACTTAGTCTTTGATCTCAACTAATAAACCGAATCAGCTATTATTAGAGAATAATCCCCAACTTAAGAAAGGAAAGTTATGGCCAAAAGTTATCTGTAAGGCAAATATTTAAAAAGAGAACCCCCTCTCCTTTAGAAATCCTGCTGTACAGGACAGAAGAGTTTCCAGGCTGGTCCCTGCTGCCTGACCACAAATGCTGCTCAGGCAGAGTCCTGGTACTGTCATAAATCTCAGCCGTTAGCTCAGTCAATGACCATTGGATGCATTCCTACCACGGTCCACACCTGTCTTAAGAGAGGGTGATGAACAAAGAGAGGGAAGGTTTCTACTCTCATGAGGTGTCTATTTTAGTGCTGGGAAGGGGAGTAGCCATAAACACA